CATCTCTTTGTGCGGTCTCGTCAGTGGCTATCGGAGGATCTTCAGTCACGCCTGCCATGAATGTATTTGAGTATTTCCACAGACGGCGCCAATTGTGGAGAAGTGGTTTTAGAAATACTCTTCAGATCTTGGGAGACGCTAATAATCCTCAGCTAATCACCTGAAAAAACACAAACACTCCGGTCGGGGGTGCCGGAATTAGCACTCCGACGGACAAGTCAGTTCTTGTACTCAAAATAGCTTGTCTTCTAAGTTAAGCAAAAAGTGATTGTTACATACCTTTCTCAATCCATTGTTCCTGTATTTATACCCGTTCCTTTTGATCCTCGGGGCCAGGGCCTACTTTTTAATTATTGTCCTTTCTTTTATTCGGCTCTATGGATCTACACTTATTCGGCACATGTATTATATTCGGCTTCCCATTCTCGTAGGATACAATCGATTAATATCAGTCTTCTAAGGTACGCACCTTCTGATTTTGCCATTATTCAACTCCCACAATTTGAATAAACAAATTATTTAAAGTGGCAAAACTGAAATACAGAAATTATGTAAATAAATAACCATAACCACAGTACAGAACAGAATAGAGAACACTAAAGTGACAGTCAGAATAGAGATCCGCAAAATAACCATAGATAGTTATTTAAACTCAAACATTAACATAACTTAATTTGAATAAATAAATTATTTAAAATGGCATAAACTGAAATACAGAAATTATGTAAATAAATAACCATAACCACGGTATAGAACAGAATACAGGTCACTAGAGTGACAGTCAGGAGTGACAGTCAAAACAGAGATCAATGGATCCATGACAAACAGAGGGTCACAAGGTGACCAATCAAAGGCCAATGGTTTATTTAAGTCCCCCAAGGCACGAGACTCCCGTAATGGTACTTACAAAAAATAATTACTTATAAAATCATTTTCAAATAATTTCTAAATTTTAAACAAACATATCTATAGGTTTCAATTTAAGTAAGGAGAGTTCAAAAAATAATCAATGTAATTGAAATATTAATATAATTTATAAAACAAAAATAGCATAAAATAAATTATAATAACTCAAAATATACGTAAAATATATTATGGTGACTCAAGGTATAATATAACTCACTTTTATAGTGATTCCTCACTTTTACTTTTTACTATCAAAGACCATATTACCTAATAGTTACCTTCGACCAATATATTTTCCTTTTTTTTTCTTTTTTTTTTTTTTCTTCTTCTTCTTGATCTTTAGCACATCCTGAGCAAATTCCCCCTTTATATGCTGTGAGGTTTCGTTGAGGTATTTTTTGATTGTATTTTGATGATCTGAATCGTTTATATTGTAAGGTTTGTTGAGTATATCATTCATGTAAAAAATAAAGTTAATCGGACATCTATAACCCCATGATCAAGTCCTAATTTTTTTTTAAATTATTAAAATCATGTTAACCGTTTATTTTTTGAAAATAAATGTGTTCTTTTTATGAGGCTACAAATGTCCAATTTATTTGATTTTTTGCATGAATGATCCATTCGACGAACCTTACAATATGGACGATTCAGATTATCAAAAAAGATTTGGGACACACCCCCAATAAGCCTCACAGCAGCCTGCTGTGCCTTAACGCATAGCAAGAACCCCAAGTCCCCTTTATATAGAGAGACAATCGTGGGCACCAAGCCATAAGGCTGCCCACGCGTGTAATCCTTATTCCCTAGCCATTAATTCATTGATTCATGATTATCTTTTATGTTTATCTAAAATGCTACACTTTAGGTTAAATTATACCCTGGCCTAATTTTTAACCTAATTATATACTATTTTATTTTTCTGATATACGATCATAAAATTAATTATTTTATTTTACTATTACTACCACTATTATTATTATTATTATTATTATTATTATTGTTATTATCATGACTGGTTGTGATATTAATTAAATATTTAGAGTGTCGCATTTTTAGACACACCTAATATAAATACACTTAAAAAGTATAATTTTCGTGAAAAAAATCTTTAAAAAATCACTAAATACTAAAAATATAAAAATTCAGTATATTTTTTGTATTTATTAATTTTTTGAAATATATTTTACTTTTTAGATACATCTAAGTAAAGTGCATCTAAAAAAGTAAAAAAAAATTCTTAAAATTTTAAAAATATTTACCAAAAACAAAAAAACACGAAAAATAAAAAAACTCAGTTTTCAGAAAACTGAATTCAGAAAACTGAAACCAAACACACTGAATAATGTTTTTAGTTTGAAAAATAATGGTAAAGATTGCAATGGTGAAAATGATAAGTATAGTGTGTTAGATTATAATGGTAAACATGATGAGTGTAGTGTGTTATATTATAATGGTGAAGATCAACAATGTTAGAAAAGAGATTTGTTCCAAAAGATATAATGCATAAATGATGGTATGTAAAGAGAGATTTGTATTTTTATATGTAAATTACTTGAATAAGTATATATACATCCATATTGTTCTTAATAGTAATTTTACTTAAAATTATTAGGGTAAATTACATTAACATCACTTGAGGTTTAGTCCAATTACTATCCACCCCCTGACGTTTTAAAAATTATATTTTCACCCCTGTGGTTAATAGTCTCATTTCGCAACCACCCCTCCCTCCTCCGCCGTCGCCGTTTATATAAAATGTAACAATTCCAAGTAGAAAAATAGAGGAAATTACATTAAAAAAAAAGTAAAGAAAATGGGAAAAAAAAGAGAAAGTAAAGTAAAGTAAAGCAAAAAGAGAGAGAGTGCACGAGTTCAATGTCTTCATTCCGTCTAAATAATTACAATGACAAGGGGGTTAGTGCAATTTCTCAAACGTCAGAGGGTGGTATATATTAAACCCAAACCTCAGGGGTGTAAGTGTAATTTACCCAAATTATTATTATCATACAAATTTAATGATTATCTATATTAAAAGAATTTATGATGTGTATTTTGGTTTTTTTTTTTTTTTTGGTTGACTTTTTTGAGTTTCAACAGTTGCCAAACGGCAACTAAGGCCTCGTTTGGCAAGTGACTTTTTTAATTAAAAAGTCAAAAAATCACTAAAAAAAATCAAAAAATCAAAAAGCAAACAACTTATATTAAAAAGTTAATAATTCTATTTTCTCTCTACTTTTTACATATATTTTTGTAAAAAATTAAAAAATTATTTCAATCATAATTTTTTTATATCATATTTTAATAAAAAAAAAACTAAAAAATTACTAAAAAAAACCTATTTCTAACCGAGGCCTAAGCGTGCCTTCAACCACTAACATTTGGCTGTGAGTTGGAACATTTTCAATCCACCATCCACACGTCCATTTATTGACGCCTACGAATGTTTTTTTTAAGACTACTAGTCCTATAATTTTTTTCCAATCACATTTACATGTTGGGATATATGGATGACTTTTAAAGTTATTTTTAAAAATAAAAACTAATTTGCTTAGTTTTTTTTATATTTTAAATTAGCATATATACATGAGCTCAATAGGCAGAATTAGAAAATATATTTGCTTTAGGTCTGGACTTGATATAATCACTTGGGTTGATTTTCAAGTTGGGTCGGGCTTAAGCAAAAGACAAAATCCCTTATTAGGTAGTAAAAGTCTGGCTCGATCGCTAGTCACCCATAATTGAACGGTATTGTTTGGGCTCACAGGATTCATCATAAATTATATTTCGATAATTTGAATTGTTCATTTTATCAGACTTTTTGTGTATATTATTCATAAAAAAGAAAAAATTACATTTTCATGATAGTACAACTCTCTTGTGTGTATAGTACAAATTCATTTATGTGCTTAGTAAAATTCTGACATACAAAAAGAGTTGTACAAAAACAAAAAAAAAATTCTATTTGTAGTGTAATTTTTTTCCCATTTATAATTTTTCCTAAAAAAATTACATCAATTCGATATTTTATAACCTATTCAATTTAAGATATTTGTTTACAACAAAAATAAATAACAAGTATATTTTTAAAAATAATTTATTTATTTTTTTACTAACAAATGTAATAAATTAAAACATATAAATAAAATTTTATATGCATAAAATATACCAAATAATTAATATTATTAAAACGGAACTCGTACGGAAACACAGACTAGAATATCAATATTTGGGGGAGAGGGAAGCCTAGTCCGTGAGAATTACAATTAAAAATAAAATAAAATCACATGTCAATGAATTGATAAAAAAATTAATTATAAAATAATGAAAGAGTTTAAAATATTATTTTTTAATATTTATAAATTTTATCATTAATTTGACAATAGCAAAAATTAATTATAAAATAATGAGAGTTCGTAATTTTATTTTTTACTATTTATAAATTTCAGTATTAATTTGAAAATAAATTTTCAAACATCCACTTAAATGAATTTTGGGGCACTTTTTTTATAAATTTCTTTTTACCTATTATGTTACATTTAGTTCACATTATTTTTTATATTCCAATAAGTTCTATAGGTGATATAGTTACTAAAATACCCCTAATAATATTCATATCTACAGTGTAAATGTTCCGTGATGTGAATATTCATACTATCAATATGAATATTCATACTATCAATGTGAATGGTAACATATCAATTCGAATATTTATAATGTTAATGTGAATATTTGTACGTCAATATAAATATTCACATTATAAAATTGAATGTCCACATCACTAAATTGCTAGCAGTTCAGAAAATATTTGTAAAGGTAAAAACGTTCATAAAATACCTTAAATATGAGAATTATGATTTGATAGATCAAATATTTAAATAATATGACATATTGAAATCATTTTATGGACTAAACGAGACACAAACACTTGAAAAATAATTTTTTAATAAATCTCCTATTATATTTTCTTAAAATTTTTTTTTTTTAAAAACTCAAATTTGGCGCGGTCGTAGAGGGGTTTTCCGGTAAATCCGGGACGTCAGTATCCGGTTGAGACCTGTTCGTTGGTTGGTTGTTTGTTTGTCCCGATTTCCCGCCTCTGTATACGATCTCTCTCTCTCTCTCACTACACTGGCAAACACACAAACACTCTCTCTCTCTCTCTCTCTCTCGCACATAATTACCAATATTGAGTGATCAGTGAGTCTCACTCTATTTTGGGACAACGATAGCTCTCTGCTATCACAGCCATGGATGAAGAATACGATGTTGTAGTGCTTGGGACAGGTCTCAAGGAATGCATTCTCAGTGGTCTACTCTCTGTTGATGGACACAAAGTAAGCCCTTTCTTCATTGTCTCTTCTCTATTCACGCGTCTATACACAACAACACTGCTTTCTCATGTGTTTCTTGATCTTATAGGCCCTTTGGATTGGATTGAGTTATTTTATGAGAAATGATATAAAAAAAAATTATGAGAAAAATAACTCTTTCTCATGTTTTGGATTACAAATTGGGTACTTCTATTCGCACATCATATTTTATCTCAGTACACAACATTTGTGTCATTTGAATATCAACTTCCGAACAAAAATAAAATGTTCGAATGTCAAGTCCTGAACAAAAAAAAAATGAATTGTTCGAACAAAAATCTCGTTCAATAGTTGATATCTGAATATTTGTATTTTGTTCGGACGGTGATATCTGAACGGCCAAATAGAATCACCCTTTACAAATTAGATAAGACAGGCTGAGAAATGGAGAAAAGGGAATTTTTTTTATGCCCCTTTCATTTTTCATACCAAAAAATAAAAATAAAAATAAAAATGCTGAGATTTGGTCAGAAACCGAATTAATTGGCTGTATATTTTTTAAAATACCAGATTATAATACATAGGATGAAAATGAAATCTTATCCATATTCCTATTTCACATGCTTTGCTTTTTTTCCCATTTGAACATGACAGTAAGAAAGCAAAATCATTCTTTTATTTTCTCACCAAATTGAGACATCAAAATCATTTCCTTTCTTCGTCATGCATGTAATACCTCTTTCTTGTATGAAACGGTGACATTTTCATATATTTTCTTTGTGATAATATGGGCAGACATCAGTGTTTATTATTTCTTAGATATATAGAGATATTGACTGACTTTAATTAGAGCAAGTTTAAGTCATAAAACAACCTATCAAGTGTGGAGATGTGGTGGGACTGGAATGTTACATCTTGGAGATAAGCTTTGGACTTCAGTTTAATTTCAAATAAAGATATTTCTTAAATAAAAGGAAATTTTTTTTTTCCACTTGTCACATGCTCATACTTTGTGCTCTATTACTTAATTATTGCCAATTAAAACATGTTGTTTGAGTATGTTCTTCCAGAGCAATATGCAATTGTAGTGTTTCTTTGTTTTTTGTTTTTTTGTTTTTGAGTCCAATTGAAACTTGAGTTACACAATGGGTGGCAGGCTCCCTTTACCTATGAACATCTTAAGTTCCAAGCCAGATGAAAGCATGATTCATTCCAATGTCTCTAGCAATAGTACCCAAAAAGCCTTTTCATAAGCCTTCTGAATCTTGTTCCAGTGTTCCATTACTGGTGAATGTAGACATATAGTCCTTTTCCTAAGCCTTTTCTCTAATATAGTGTTTGGTTCACTGGAATGGAATGATCATTCCATCATAAAATCCATTCTCACGTTTGGGTTACTAAAAAAATATGATGGAAAATATGTTATGTATTACAACTGGAATCATCATTCCCATTGTAAGGAATAATCATTGCATAAGGAGGCCAAGGAATATGACCTTTCCATTCCAGTGAACCAAACAGAGCATAAGAGTAAGAGTAAAGCTCTAAACACTCCAACAGTCTTTCTTTGTTCTCTATACAAATTTCAGCAAAATAATAATGTAATCATCAGCTTTCTTGCAGGAGATGCTTTGTGCTTTATCATTATCTTTTTATTTTCACTCTTTTTCCCAGATTCATATATCTTTTGGATAACTCTTTGGGGATTTTATAATCTTGTTAGAATGCTGAATTATTAGCATTTTTTGGTGCCTATTTGGAACAGGTTCTGCACATGGATAGAAATGATTACTATGGAGGAGAGTCCACCTCACTAAATCTCAACCAGGTACAATTATCATTACATGCTTAAATTGCTCTGTTGATCATCTATCTAAAACTCTTCTATTAACTCATTTCTGCTTATGGCTTTATTTATTTATTTATTGGTTTGTTTCATTTCTACTTGTGGCTTCTAGCTCTGGAAGCGATTCAGGGGCAGTGACACACCTCCAGAACATTTGGGCTCAAGCAGAGATTACAACGTCGATATGATCCCCAAGGTATGCAGACTTCTGTTCAATATTCATATGTAGCCTCTTCGAGGTAATGAAATAATCCTTTGGTTATTATACACCTCTCTTGTCATTCTCAAATTTACTTATGTTGTACAACAAACCAAACTAGCTTCACTCTATGGTATACTTTTAGCTGCCAATCCACAAGTCCCTGGTGGATAATGGGAACACTTGAACCCGCCATCCCTTGCCACGAACCACAAATGGGTCCCTACAGCCTTCTCCCGACCTAGGCAGACATGATGGCGTCAGGGTATCCATCCAATCAAGGCTTGCAATTGCTAGGTGAGGCAAATGTGGAGGCAGGTGAGTGGGCACCCAGGTGGGTGTGGCGCACACGAAGGTAGGCGAGGAACACAGAGTTAAGGCACTAAGTGTTACCATGGAGATTTGATCTCCATCGACGGTTGATCATTTATAGTCTTCCTAGTAAAAAAAGAAAGGACTTTCAGATTGAAAAGTTTTGATAAATAAGTACATATAAAAATCATGACATGGGTTAAAGTGTAACATTTGTAGTAGCAAACCTCTCAATGTTTTTCATAATGTATGATTTGAAGATTGTAGTGTATTGGATGGAGAATGAATCGATTTTCTTTGACAGTTCTATATCATTCCTTTTAATGCTACTAAACTTTGGGTCATCAGAAGATTGTAGCATATTGGATGGAGAATGAGTCGATTTTCTTTGACAGTTCTATATCATTTCTTTTAATGCTACTAAACTTTGAGTTATCAAAGGCTGATGATGCTTATTTCTAGTTTAGACTTGATATGTAAAGAGAGTTCCCATGTATCTTGACTCTTAATAACTACTGCTTGTGGATAAGAAATGATTTTAGGACTGTATTCCTCAACATTATTTTTCTGTACTTGTTATCCCATTAAATGTCATAATTTCTTTGTTCTGACAGTTCATGATGGCTAATGGTGGCCTTGTTCGTGTTCTCATCCACACCGACGTCACGAAATATCTGAATTTTAAAGCTGTAGATGGCAGTTTTGTGTACAACAAAGGGAAGGTCAGAATCTAATTTTTCATAAATGATATAAAAGCTCCAACTTCATTTTATGATTAACAATGAGTTTGATCCTTTTCAGATTCACAAAGTACCAGCTACTGATGTGGAAGCACTTAAATCTCCACTGATGGGATTGTTTGAGAAGCGACGTGCTCGAAAGTTCTTCATTTATGTGCAAGACTATGAAGAGAATGATCCAAAATCCCATGAAGGACTCGACCTCAACAAAGTTACTGCAAAAGATATCATTTCGTACTATCTAATCCTTATTATTTCTCCTTTTCCTTTTTTATTTTTCTCTGTCTATCTTATATATATAATTGATATATAGTTGTGGGTAAGAGAGGTTAGAAGTGGTCGGTTGTGGACCTCTTGGAAGATGGCGGGCACTTCAATGGCTTGAGACCAACAGAGGCAGTGGAAGAGAAGATCAAGGCAGCCTTAGAGACAAAGTGGGTGGCAGTGAGAGACCTCGAACACTTAGATGGTTGTGTTGATACAATAATGTTCGTGTGATGTGGCTGCATCCCTTATATAGATTCTAGGAGTAGTGGAGCCCAAGCTACTTGAGGACAGGTGGCAAGTTCTCCTTAGCTGGACAAGTTGGTGATATTAGCCCTACTGCTGCATCCTATGATATCTTGTGAGTGGCATGCAACCGGCGTGGTTGTAAGGTCAATGTCCCATCCCTAAGTCTGGTTCAGGTGGAGCTGTCATTGCAGGTAGGTAGGCAAGTAACCTTGACAAACCCATGGTCTTAGCCTCCAATCCATAATCCTCTAATGATCTTGAACAAGGATGCCTAGGCCCTGCTCCCAACTTAGGCAGCCAAGTGATTAAGTAGAATGAGAGAGCCCATGTAACGCCCCCAAATAAAAGACATAAATCAAACAACCGAATACTCCATCCAATGACAATTCCAATATGGTAAATCAGATCTCTAAATTCATGTTTCTTTCTGGTAAGAGATTTTACAAAGGAGATCCACATGCATTACACATTCAAACCCTCTTTAAATTGAATCCGTAGATATGCGACCATACAACCACAAGAATTAACAACAGAACAAGGAAATGCCTCAAGGGTTACGAGTTCCAAGGCTTAGGTCTGGTTACACAAAAAGGGTTAACTAACCCATATAATTAAAGCCCTTGGCTTGACAAAATAATCACAAAAGAAAAGAGCTTTTGCTCCCAAAAAGACTTTCCATGCCCTCAGCTAGGTGGGATCACAACATCCTTTATCGCACAAATCCACTAGAGGTGAGCCCAAAGCCCAGTAGGAGTAATTTCACGAAGTATATATGTTTAAGCAGTCTGTCATATATATGTGTATGCAATGTTATACCATGCCACAACATTATAAGTATTGCTTCAAAAAAAATATATATATATATATATATATTGCCATGATCTTTAAAAGAATCACTTAATCATCTCAATAAACCCAAAATTTAAAATGAGGTGGTAAATACGTCTCAGGTATATCCCCAGGGTTAGTGTCTGCAAGTAGGCGTATCAAACACTACCAAATCCTACTTTGCCGGCTCTTAACCGGAGGGCTTAGGCACCCACACGCGTATGTTTCTGGTCTTACACTCGAACTGCACCCCCTAATCGGATTTCCCACCGTATTTACCTCAAAACAATACAATAGTAACAATTGTTTTTCTCAAACAACATAACCATTTTCAAGATATAACCATAGTGAAATCATATTTCGAAAATTATGTATATGAATGAATTGAAATGCAATGATTTAGTTCTGATATGCACAATTTCTCCACAATTCCCAACGTTTGCTCAAAGAACCTACACCACTACCACCTCCACTTCACCTACACCACTACCACCTCCACTTCACCTACTACACCTATATCTCCTATATAAGGAGCCTCTCACATTTGTACTAAAAAATCAATCAATTCAACAATCAATAATACATCTATTTTTTTACAATATGTAAAGAGAGTTCCCATGTATCTTGATTCTTAATAACTACTGCTTGTGGATAAGAAATGATTTTAGGACTGTATTCCTCAACATTATTTTTCTGTACTTGTTATCCCAATAAATGTCATAATTTCTTTGTTTTGACAGTTCATGATGGCTAATGGTGGCCTTGTTCGTGTTCTCATCCACACCGACGTCACGAAATATCTGAATTTTAAAGCTGTAGATGGCAGTTTTGTGTACAACAAAGGGAAGGTCAGAATCTAATTTTTCATAAATGATATGAAAACTCCAACTTCATTTTATGATTAACAATGAGTTTGATCCTTTTCAGATTCACAAAGTACCAGCTACTGATGTGGAAGCACTTAAATCCCCACTGATGGGATTGTTTGAGAAGCGGCGTGCTCGAAAGTTCTTCATTTATGTGCAAGACTATGAAGAGAATGATCCAAAATCCCATGAAGGACTCGACCTCAACAAAGTTACTGCAAAAGATATCATTTCGTACTATCTAATCCTTATTATTTCTCCTTTTCCTTTTTTATTTTTCTTTGTCTATCTTATATATATAATTGATATATAGTTGTGGGTAAGAGATGTTAGAAGTGGTCGGTTGTGGACCTCTTGGAAGATGGCGGGCACTTCAATGGCTTGAGACCAACAGAGGCGGTGGAAGAGAAGATCAAGGCAGCCTTAGAGACAAAGTGGGTGGCAGTGAGAGACCTCGAACACTTAGATGGTTGTGTTGATACAACAATGTTCGTGTGATGTGGCTGCATCCCTTATATAGATTCCAGGAGTAGTGGAGCCCAAGTTACTTGAGGACAGGTGGCAAGTTCTCCTTAGCTGGACAAGTTGGAGATATTAGCCCTATTGCTGCATCCTATGAGATCTTGGGAGTGGCATGCAACTGGCATGGTTGTAAGGTCAATGTCCCATCCTTAAGTCTGGTCAAGGTGGAGTTGTCATTGCAGGTAGGTAGCCAAGTAACCTTGACAAACCCATGGTCTTAGCCTCTGATCCATAATCCTCTAATGATCTTGAACAAGGATGCCTAGGCCCTGCTCCCAACCTAGGCAGCCAAGTGATTAAGTAGAATAAGAGAGCACATGTAATGCCCCTGAATAAAAGACATAAATCAAACAACCGAATACTCCATCCAATGACAATTCCAATATGGTAAATCAGATCTCTAAATTCATATTTCTTTCTGGTAAGAGATTTTACAAAAGAGATCCACATGCATTACACATTCAAACCCTCTTTAAGTTGAATCTGTAGATGTGCGACCATACAACCATAAGAATTAACAATAGAACAAGGAAATGCCTCCAGGGCTACGAGTTCCAAGGCTCAGGTCTGGTTACACAATGGGGGTTAACTAGCCCATATAATTAAAGCCCTTGGCTTGACAAAATAATTACAAAAGAAAAGAGCTTTTGCACCCAAAAAGACTTTCCACGCCCTCAGCTAGGTGGGATCACAACATCCTTTATCGCACAAATCCACTAGGGGTGAGCCCAAAGCCCAATACGAGTAATTTCACAAAGTATACATGTTTAAGCAGTCTGTCATATATATGTGTATGCAATGTTATACCATGCCACAACATTATAAGTATTGCTTCAAAAAAAATATATATATATATATATATATTGCCATGATCTTTAAAAGAATCACTTAATCATCTCAATAAACCCAAAATTTAAAATGAGGTGGTAAATATGTCTCAGGTAAATCCTCAGGGCTAGTGTCTGCAAGTAGGCGTATCAAGCACTATCAAATCCTACTTTACTGGCTCCTAACCGGAGGGCTTAGGCACCCACACGCGCATGTTTCTAGTCTTACACTCGAACTACACCCCCTAATCGGATTTCCCACCGTATTTACCTCAAAACAATACAATAGTAACAATTGTTTTTCTCAAACAACATAACCATTTTCAAGACATAACCATAGTGAAATCATATTTCGAAAATTATGTATATGAATGAATTGAAATGCAATGATTTAGTTCTGATATGCACAATTTCTCCACAATTCCCAACGTTTGCTCAAAGAACAAAGATAAGATATTCAGTATCTATATGTGTTCATACTCCAAAAATTTATATAAATTCTATATCCATGTGACATATGACATTCTTTCATATTCACAATCAACATTCATTTCCACTTTCATATTCTAGACAAATGCACAAGATGTTATGTTAATTTCTCAACAACACAACAACATCAGGAAGTTTCCTCAATTTCTCAAAGGATTTAGCAAGAATTTCATGGATATTTCACAAATTTCACTTTTCCCCAATTTGCTCCAAAACCTAGGGTTTGATCAAAAGAAAGGTTTTTCCTTCATTTTCAAAATATCTTCTTGCAAACATGCCCAAATGGTTCATAGTTCACAACATGATCTATCTTGGACCAAAATCATAAGATAGAAATATTTTCTCAAACATTTCCTAGATTCAACATTTTAAAACTCAAAACCCAAACTTGAAATTATAGTGAAATGGACAAGACATGCTAAAATCATATATATAATTCAAAGGAACTCCGTACCTCAAGACTAGGAATAAAGATGAGAGAAAAGCTTCAAAACCAAAGGCGTCAAAACTTGATCCCCACCGTACAAAATGTTGCTTTTCATGAGCTCTCCCAAAATTAAAGAAAGCATTAGGGTTAAAATCTCAATGAATATGGAGGGATCAAAGAAGTAATGAGGTGGTTGGAGGGTTTCTTAGAGAGAGATGAGAGAAATGAGAGTGAGAGTAATTGTAGAGAGAGAGAGAGAGAGAGTGAAGGAAAAGTGAGAAAAAGTGTGTAAGGGTCCAACTTTTAAGTGATTGGACACATTTTTAGGAGTAAACTGCGAACAGACCGCTCAAGCGAAAGCGACCAAACTTGCGCTCGAGTAAACAATCCGAACTCCCATAATCTCTCCTCTCTGCAAAAGACCACTCAAGCGACAAGACCTTCACTCGAGCGAAAAATACGAGCTCCCAGAAGTTCAGACTGCAGAACAAAATATTGGATGGTCGACGTTACCACTTGAGCGGTCTCAACTTAAAAGTGAGACACAACACTCTTAAAATATTCCCACCATTCTCGGATTCACTCTAACACCCCAAGATGCCAAAAAATATCTCGGAACACACTAGAATATACACACGAACAACCACAAGGAAACTGATAGGTAACAACACAAGTCCTAAATGTTTCAACAGTGACAGGGCAATTAAAGAAGACAGAAATTTCAAAATGCTATATATATTCAAAATGCTTTAAAATGACTCAGAACATCACAACACATAGGTGAGCCAAGTGCCCAACCTAGGCAGCCAAGTGAACATAGGTGAGCTAGGGGCCAACAAAACTGCCATTGAGCAAGAGTGAGTAGGGAGAATGTGTTCCCTATTAGGATGAGGTATGAAGGACCATGGTGAGTGAGGGCTCCAAGTGAACCATGGTTTGCCGAGCAAGTGAGCTTGGCTCTGCTACGTGAGCCTGGCTCTGCTACGTGAGCCTGGCTCTGCTACGTGAGCCATATTGAGCTCTTCATACTTTAACTCATTTGCGTTGGAGCTCTTATGGCTAGAGTGGCAACTGTGCTATTGAGCTTCGCACTTAGTGGTATGCCTCCGCTTAGGCTAGGCATACAACTCCAACCGGTTGTGGTGCCTCGGAGGTCTGGCACATTAGGGTGTGATGGTGATGACATCACACCTGTTGGGCTCGCCACGTACCGGGTGTGGTACAAGTACCCACAATAGTTACAGGGTTCGTATTTTGTGAGAAATTATCTTTGTTATATTTGCTGAACTTTTTGAGATTGCCATGGAGCGGATGATGTTGGTTCAAATCTTATAACTTGTTTAAAGAAAAAGATGTTTATATACATATGTTGAAGCTAATCTCCTTTAATTATGCTCAGTGACGTGGTATGGGTGAGAAATCTGTGGGGTCTGTTTATAAACTAGTAGATAAGGGCCAGTGCAAGACTCAAAATCTAAGCGTAAGATTAGCTTAAGGAATTTTGAGGGCCAGGTATCTCCTTTCATTTCATGCTCAGTAATATAGAACATCAACCTTGGTGTAACACTAGTATTAGGAACTACTATTTTGATGGCCAAGTATCGGAGTCAAAAAATACTCTGTTTCAGGAAAGCAAGTTGAGGTTTATAAAGTTTGAGGGGCTTTCCAAGAATCAAAATTATAGCCCTAGAAGCACAATGGACGTGACGTGCCCTGCATTTATACATTGGGATCCAATGATAAAAGAAAAAAAATGTAGATTATACCTATTACCCTCTCCTTTGAAATTTAGGAATTTGTAGTATGTTTTATTTTTTTGAATGAAATATTCAATATGTATAACATAAATGAAATATATATATACTATATATTTATTGCATGTGTCCCCCATGTGTTGGTATCTTTCATTTTTTGAAAATTGTCGGCATATCTGTGTCATATCTGCGCCCCTTTTCTTTAGATAGCTACAAATGTAAATATCATAATAAGAATAAATTTGAGATCGATGATAAGGATAAATTTTGTTAGTTTGTATAAGTAACTTTGAATTCTTGCTCCGAAATGGAAAATCCAATGCTACGCTCACTTCAGCATAGACTCAAAACTCAATGAAAATTGAACAGAAGCTTTCAACACAACCAATGATCTCTTAAGTTATTATATTTAAATTTGGCTTACTAATTAAACTGTTCTCCATATCTGGATAGAAAATATGGTAGTACCATTGATGAGTGACGACCCTCAAGCTCACTGCAAAATTGAGTTAAAAAATCTGAAAAAAAGCTTCTGATGTAAGAATTATGGTTGGGGTGTCTATATACACATTAGATGGCAGTAAACTCGTCAAAAGCTGCTTATAAAACCAAGTTGACCAATTGGTTCAACCATATCATTTGTGGTCATCAAACAGGAGAAAGGTTCCTTCATGTGGTCATCTGTTTGACCAATTGGTTTAACCGTCTTATTTGTGGAGAACCAAGCTTTATAGAATATATGATAGAAAATAGTCTAAATCTTGCAAGAAATGGTACACACACAACATTCTTTTCAGTAGGGGCTAATGCCTGGTACCTAAGCGGGCAAAGGACAGTTGTACAAAGACCTAGTGGTAATTTGAAGAATATTACTGGGCAGTCCAGTATTACCTAAGATTCTGTTATTCAATCTAACTTCTTGAAAAAGAAAAGAAAAATAACTTTACTCAAGAGCAAAGTTGATCAAATGCCCAACAAGGGTACTGTTCCCCGATCGCCATTCACTGTTTGGCTCCATTGAGAATTCATTTTTATCATCTACATAGACTAACACTTGTGTTACATGGACTCTTTTGTTTTTCCCCAAAGTAACCGTGTCCACTAGATATGACGAGGGTTGAAGGGTGGATGTGGAATGTGTCCAACACCTGTACCCAATTTAGACATTTGGATCCTCTAATTTTTTACTATGTTGAAAAGAAAAAACTCACATTTGTTAGTAAAGAAACATTTCTAGCCTCTCACATGGATAGGTGAGAGAATTTTTCTAAATCCTATTTAATTTCAAGTATATTTCTACACAATTTACAACATCTTATATAAAATATTATATTATATGCAATATATATGTGTCTTTGACGTGTCTTCGTACCCGTATCCAACTTTTGGATATAGCATTCTAAAATTTAGGTTTATGAAGTTCTGACTTTTAATACACACCTGCATTTGATACTTGTATCTGAGTCCATGAAATCGCGATTTGCCTGACTGCGGTCGCAATTCTGGCTGTTTCCGACAATGAACATGAGTCGCTATTCCGGCAGTGAACTGATGTTGCAATTCCAGCAGCCTCTAGTTCATGATTCTGGCGGCACCTTACTCTGATAGCATGTAAGCTCTTCATTTTTTTTGCTTTCATCAGGAAAGGAACCCCATCCCATCGGGCATTATTGATAAAGAGTGCTGCTGCTGCAAATGTTGGAGTGAGACTGTCCTTCGACACTGTTGGATCATCCGTATATGCTGGATAGGTGTTATTGCCCTTGCTGTGGCCCTTATATTGGCCTACTATCACGTCTTCAAGTTGCAATGGTCTCATTGACCTCAAAACCTTGACCTGAATCAAATTCATGCTCATTATAATAAATTAATTTATAGGGTTTTGATAAAGCTAGTTATCTTTATAGGACTCTTTTATTTCTCCCAAAGCACTTGTGTCCGCCAGATACGATAAGGGCATGCATCCGACACCTGTAACCAATTTAGACATACTTGGATCCTCCAAGATTTTACGATGTTTGAAGAAGAAAAAACTCACATTTGTTAGTAAAGAAACATTTCTAGCCTCTCACATGGATAGGTGAGAGAATTTTTGTAAGTCCTATTTAATTTCAAGTATATTTCTGCACAATTTACAACATCTTATATAAAATATTATATAATATGCAATATATATGTCTTTGACGTGTCTCCGTACCCATATCCAACTTTTGGATATAGCATTCTGAGATTTAGGTTTATGAAGTTCTGACTTTTAGATACACACCAGCATTTGATACTTGTATCCGAGTCCATGAAATCGCGATTTGCCTGACTGCGGTCGCAATTCTGGCTGTTTCCGACAATGAACATGAGTCGCTATTCCAGCGGTGAACTGATGTTGCGATTCCAGCAGCCTCTAGTTCATGATTCTGGCGGCAACTTACTCTGATAGCATGTAAGCTCTTCTTTTTTCTTTTTTTTTCTCCTTCTTCTAATAATAATACAAAGATAAAAATAAAATCAAAACCCTAAAACTCTAATGAAATCAAAACACTAATCTACCCTCAAGAAAAATACAATATATTGCACAGTTACAACTCAGAGTGTGATTACATGTTTTTATAGAAGAATACTCAGCTCTACTTTAACTAGGCTGTTTCTAACAAAATATAACTAACTCAATTTGTTGCCTAACTAACTCTAGTATATGCCATTCTTCAAGTGGGATTGGGTGGTCTACTACTCACTGAAGCAGGAACAGCATCTGCATCATCTTCAGCTTGATCTTTGTGAGCCATCTTTTATCAACTAACAATCTTATGACCTATCAAGACTCATACATGCACAAACATCAGATTTAGGACATTATCATTTTATTTAACTTCTTGCACTCCACATCTCTGAGTATAGGAGAAGGAAGGCATTTTAGAATTGGATTATAGGATGCTAAAAGTGCAAATAGAACTACCATGTGCATGCACACATTTGTAGATTAGTCTTAAACTTATTTGTTCTAGTATAAATTTAAACCAGCAATTAGCTGAATTGACGTGGTTGCACAGAACGTAATCTTACTATTGTAGCTCTAACCCCAAGCAGTTCTTAGATATCAAAGCTTCTTTCTGTTTCTTCTTTTTACTCAGAAAACTGAGTGTGAAAATTTTATAACTATTTTTGTTGGAGACAATCCAAAAGCCAGTTTGATGACAAGTAAATGCTTTTGAGGAATTTTCTCCTTTTGCTCAATTTTGCTAAGCAAAGGGAGCAGACACATTCCTCAGACCAGTTATGATGCTATTTAAATTCCAAATCTGTGATCCAAGTATTTTTATCTGGAGCAAGATGAGCTATAGCTGTGTGGAGTTACTACTACTATTATTGTTTTTGTTCTGCTTTTTACTTTCTGATAATGAGGGCAGTGTAGTTTGACTTATTTTACTTATATAGTTTTCTGATATAGGAAGTATGGGCTAGATGACAATACAGTTGACTTTATTGGGCATGCATTGGCACTCCATAAAGATGATAGTTACTTAGACCAGCCTGCTATGGATTTTGTGAAGAGAGTTAAGGTGAAACACTTGGTTTCCTGCTTTTATTGTTTGTTATTATTTTCTTTCAATGTCTCTGCTTTGAAGATCTTGGAATGATTTCTACCCTTGCTAGTTGCTACACCAAAGTTGTGTTTGACCCCTTCAACACTGCTATATTCCATGTTTCATTTCATATTGGCTTCACTTTTTCAAAACATGTAATACCCACAGCCTTGAAACGTAAATCTTATCTATGAAATCAATGGTATAAAATGTATTGGTAGTAAATGATGCCTCAACTGAAGGATACTGTGGTTATGCCTTAGTGGGGACTTAAGCATGTTCAATTCCTTCTTTTTTTTTTTCTTTTTCTTTTTCACCACCTGGGTAATAGCTGTTAGACAGCGTCCTCAGCATTCTTAGTCATCACTATCCCATCCCTGAATAGGGGTCCTTCACCTGTCCAGTGCAAATATGGGGATGGAAAGCACTTCGGAAACATAGATACTCATCTATCTTTTAAGTGCACAAAAAATAGCGTAATATATAAAGACCTTGAGTAAATGGTAAGGAAGGTGAAATCTTGGTATCATCTAATATCTATTTCAAGACAATGGCATGGACTAGCAGGCGATGTAGTCCCTTAGCTCCACTCCACAGCCAGATTCTGAGTTGTATGGATAGCAGCAGCAGGGCCACTCCTTGGAGACTTGACTTTCTCCACTGATGTGAAAAACTATTGAATGATATTCGTGGATTTTGAGCCATACAGCCTTAACTCTGAACTAGATTAGAATCATTTTCCCTAAAAGGATAATGTGCGTTGGGATTAGTTTGTAGGTTCCTGTTTGTATCTCCTGGGACATATAGCAACATAACCCATACATATCTGTTCTTAAATTCAATCACACTATCATCTTTTTCTCCTTCAGTTTTTATATTTTTATTTGTGAAATTAAGTGATTTTTCAAAAAAGGGGAGGAAGGGTGGGTGGAAATGGCATCAACATGCTGGAATTCCGTAACAGTAACATTGTTGTGTTGTTAATTGTGGATATATTTTATCCTTGAGCAGACATAATTTGAAGTGCATAGAGACATGCATACCTTCTGGCAATGACTTGAACCTTGTGTCTTGCTAGTAGATATTCTTTCAATAGACTTTATCAACAACCATTGATTTTACAAGAACGATTCTGACTTCTCTGGCTAACAGAAAATCACATAAATGCATTTTTTAAATTCATACATTTTCCCTAAACGGATAGTTTTTCCAGTGAGATTTCCTTTTCATATACTCTGTTTACAGTGGTAAGTGTAATTGATCAGCTAATTTGCTTTAGCTTTTGCTTTGAAAGCTCTATGCAGAGTCTTTAGCTCGCTTTCAGGGAGGATCTCCTTATATTTATCCACTATATGGACTGGGAGAACTACCTCAGGTGTGTAGTCATGAAAATGGCAAGAATCTATTGGGGCTATAATCATATATTCGTAACTTTCTGTGACATTATTGGCAGGCATTTGCTCGTTTGAGCGCTGTCTATGGTGGGACTTACATGCTCAACAAACCAGAATGCAAGGTAACTTGTTAATGATTCTATGATATGTATATTATTTTTTGCCTGGGAAACTCTCTGATATCCTTTAATCCATATGGGTAGCCTTGTCTCTTTATTCTCATGATTGTACGGTGGATCCAATGTTAGTATATGATGTTGTCCAAGGCAAAGTATGTTTTAATGGGTTGAAGTGCTGAAAAGCAGCACAAAGTGAATGATTCTGCCAATTAGGGTGGAAAAAGTGGATTGTTCACTTAATTCCCAAGATATAATAAAAATTTTAAACATCCTGCCATTTAATCTTTTTGGCAATACCTTTTATATTTTTATTTTTTTTTAAAGTTAATATTCCACACTTTTCTAAACAAAGATTACAAATGATTTGCTGACCATTTTTCACCAATATTGAGCCATTACATCTGATGCTGCAATTGACAGGTAGAATTTGATGAAGATGGAAAGGCCTTTGGAGTGACTTCGGAAGGAGAGACTGCAAAATGCAAAAAAGTAGTATGTGATCCTTCATATTTGCCTAACAAGGTAATTTATTTCCAAGGAACCTTCAATCAGTAGCTTGATCATGCTGGACTTGAGTTGAATGGTCTGAATTAACACCTGCACCTGCTGATTATTGTGACAACAGGTAAAGAAGGTTGGGAAAGTAGCTCGTGCAATATGTATAATGAGTCATCCTATTCAAAGCACCCATGATGCTCACTCGGTCCAGGTTATTCTGCCTCAGAAACAAGTTGGGAGAAAATCAGATATGTATGTATGCCAAAACTCTTTTATTGATTTTAATTTGTGTGTGGGTAATGCAAATGTATATCATAGGCATAACATTTGCCTTGTAATACGTATTAAAATATGCATATCCCCACATTTGAATGTCATCATTCTGTGCTGATTGGGATAACCTTGATTTTTTTTCATTTAAAATAAAAAATAAATAAATTAAACAAATCACATTTTGTATGACTCTGGAAATGCCTAATGGAAGCAAGAGTTAGAAAGAGAGGAAAGATTTTTTCTTATATTTCTTTTCTTTTGTTCTGTCTGAATGCTGTGCCATTGCCGATTTTCCATCCAGACGGTGCCCAAACTTTTGCGGAATAGTAACTTTTAGAAGTGATTTTGTTGTTGTCATTCTTGAGTAGCTCAATATTCTGTATTTGAGATCAAATATTTGAAAGAAGTTTCTGTTTCAAACACTATTGAGTAACTATTGGTAGTTGTACAAAAAGGTTTCATTTCTTTTGTATATGATTTACTAAACTGTAAGAGGAAAATATAGGAGAAAATGTAGACAATGAAGGTTTATATTCCAAAAGAAGTCTTTTTTGCATGACAAAAGTTGAAACAGTTTTCATACATGCTAAAACAGAAGAAAAGCTAAGGTAGTGTTTGGTTTAGTTTTAGAATCATGATTTGAGAATGGAGTTGTATTTTGAGTTTGTGAGTTGTTGAATCATGATTTGAAAAAAGAAAATTTGTTTGGTTATTGTTAAATATTTATGTATTATTGATTGATATGTTGTGTTTATTACAAATGGTGAGTGGCTCATTATATAGGAGAGGGTGAGTGTAGTAGGTGAGGAGTAGGTGAGGAGTAGGTGGTGGTAGGTGATGGTAAATTGGTGGTAGGTGATGGTAAATTTTAACAGCCCCCGTAAACTCAAGGAGGATAGAAATTAACCAACTTGAGTTTGGAGAGAGTAACAAAACAAGAAAATACATAAAAATAAAAGAGGATAGGAGACACTGTATGGTCGTGTCAGACCATTGGTGAAGACACTGGATGGTGGTGTCATAACGTTGTAGAGGACACTGTATGGTGGTGTCATAACGTTGTAGAGGACACTGGATGGCGGTGTTAGACCGATGTAGAAGACAGTTTATGGGGTCATGTCGAACCGTTGTAGCAGGACAGTTTACGAGGTCATGTCGGACCGTTGTAGCAGACACTGTGTGGTCGTGTCAGACCGTTGTTGAAGACAGTTTAGAGGACGACCAGGTAGACCCAATCTGCAAATTCAAAATTCAAAAACTCTACTATGCCAAACATGCATTGGAATGTGTATTCAAATGTGGCCTTGGAATCAATTTTTGAAAACTTAAATCAAACATAGCATTCAAATATAAGGGTGAAATTATGATTTGAAACTTAAACCAAACAGAGCCTAAATGCTTTCAAGTTCCAAATGTTATGAATTGTACAGAGTTCTTTTAATGCTCTTCTTCTTTGTCAATCTGTTGCAGGTACCTGTTCTGCTGCTCGTATTCTCACAATGTAGCTCCAAAAGGTAAATTCATTGCTTTTGTTACAACGGAAGCAGAGACTGATAATCCTGAAGTGGAACTGAAGCCTGGCATAGAGCTTCTTGGTCCTGTAGACGAAATATTTTTTGATACTTATGACAGATACGAACCCACTAACCAGCATGCTGTTGACAACTGTTTCATATCCACTGTAAGTATACACACAACATTTTGCACTTCTCATATATATATATATATATTTTCATCCTGCAAATTTGAATTTGAATTTATCATTTTTCCCGACAATCAAAAGCCTCAATCAGAAGCAATTTAGTCATATTCAACTTTCTTGCCCTAGCTTTCTATTTATGACCATGAACACCTAAATTTAACTAATGGAAGACTAAGAAATTGGATAAAGTGGTTCTCATAGAATGAGGAGCTGATGAGCCTGTTCTCATAGTCCAGGTTTTCATATTAGAAAATTAGCAGTTTTTATTGCTTTTTTCCTAATCTTAGAGAGGTAGAAATCTCTTGTTTTTATTTATGTCAAAAACACCATCATTTGGTGGGTGACATGTGTCAAAGCTTCAAGAACTCTCAACCCATTGTCTATAGCACTAGGTTGGTTGGTCTTCACTCAGAAGTGAACATGAGAATTGGGATACCGTTTGTCTTCCTTTTTCTTTTTGAGATTGCAGCAGTCATTTGACAAATCTTGAATTTTGTACAGAGTTATGATGCAACGACTCACTTTGAGTCAACAGTACAAGATGTGATCGCCATGTACAGCCAGATAACCGGAAAGGTAACTTTTCAGTTTGATTACAATATATAAACACTTTTACAGTTTAACTGAATACTGTAAATTCTTTTCTTCTCCAAGAAACTTATGCACATCACAGTTGTGAGTGTTTTCCAATGTGATTTTTCCATCAAGAATACTAATATGTTATTTATTTATTTTATTTTTTGGGGGAACAGGGGTGTAGTAGTATAGTTTCAATATGTTAAATTTCTGGAACTTGCCTAATGACATGTGATAATATCTGAAGATGCTTGCGCCGATTAGTCAAACTAACATCTTGGAGAATTTACACTGATGCCATTGTTGTATTACCACACAATATGGAGGTCCATGATATCTACAATGGGGAATTTTAAATAAATTAAAAAAAAAATGCTTTCACTCCCTTTATTTTACATCTGCATGCTGATTCTGTGTTTTATTCAAGCGAAATGCAATACATTCTGCTTGCTTTTTCTGAAGAGCTATAAACTGTTTTGATGATCCTTCATTGCTGCAACGCATTTGTGCATCTACTGTCTTCTTGTTGCAACAATAGAATTGAAATCTGAACTCATATATGCACCTACTGTTTTGTTGTTGCCTAAGTAGAATTTTTAGGTTGTTCAAAATAAATAAATAAATAAAATAGAATATTTAGAAATCAGTATCTGTTCTCCTTGTGTATTATTGTTTTGATTTTGGTTATGCACAAGTACAACTCCATATCATATTAACCATCGATAGTAGAATAGAGTAATGCGTATCTTTCTTTTCCACAATTCCATTAGTGGCTCAATTCTAAACTACTGGCTGAAGTACTAAATTTCCAGTTTGAGTGACTCTAATAACCAGTTTATGTTTATTTGATGGTGTCGTGCTTCAGACTCTTGATCTGACTGTGGATCTGAGTGCCGCCAGTGCTGCTGCTGAATGAATTTTTTGGCTCACACATCCCCCAGAAGAACAGAGAGAAGAACTCAAAGAACCTTCATTCATTGCCTTCTGTGTTCTTTTCAATGCAAGAGGTAGCAGTCCTTGAGCAAATACTGAACCTCCGCAAAACTGATTGACTTCATATGAAACCTGCATTGCATTTTAACAGATACTTTTCTTCCACCTTGTATTGGGAATTTGTTGTTTTTCCATAAGATTTGTCTTTTTTAAGTATTTCATTTAGACGGTAATAAATAAAATTCAAAATTTTTATTTTCAGCTCAAAGGTGGATTACTGAATATTTTCCTTGAGTGTTGGAACTGTGATTTTTGTCCGTTGGGATTTTTTTCTACATAATATCTAGTACTCTCGTATGATTGATATTTACTATGTTAATTCGATTCATTGACCAAATTAAGTAATTAATCATAATTTTTAATTGAATAGCTTGTTCACTTCTCTAGACACATAATATTGAAACTCCAATATTTCAATTTTTAGCAAACAAAATTCCACTGATCAGTGATTCAGGCTCCTTGATAAGACACCAAACCACTTTAGCTAGTGGTGACTGTTCACTTTTTTTAATTCTCAGATTTTCATAAACTCCCAACTTTTGTGTAGCCTCTGAATGTTTTGTCAATTTGACTATAGCCAAAATTTAACCAAAAGAAAAATCTTTTTACCTCTCATTATAGAAAAATTGGCATATACACCATCTGAGCAAAGATTATCAAATTATAATATTTGACATGGGCCAAAACTTGACTTTGTCATTTCTATTTTGACATCAATCACAAAAGACTGTCTAAAAATTAGCTGGAAAAAAAAAAAGGAAAGAAAAAAGGAAAAAAGGAAACGAAAACTGAAATAATATGATTTCTAATAATCACAAATGTTGCAGATTCCTTTATTGCATTTCATATTCATATAGGAGGAACATCTTATTCTATTGCCAGGTAGCCAGATCCAATTTAAAGATGGCTAGAACAAAATTAAAAGAAATATCAAAATGAAACAAATTCTGTCTGTATAATTCTTTTCTATAATGGTGAAAATTTTAAAAAATAAAATATAAATGTCAGGTGTTATTTCCCCAGTGAAATCAATTTCCCACAAGAACAAGACAACACTACAGGAAGGCACTTTTGATGTACTGCAGTAGTGCCAATGGAAAAACCAACAGCACTTACAGTTGATGCAGAAAATAATTATGAGTAACCTACTGAATATATATATATATATATATGTGCCGTTAATCTAGCAGCCTAATAATGTAATAGGGTTTGCCCTGTGCTTCATAGGGTTTTCCAACAACAAAATTTAATAAAACTGCACAAGAAGAATCAAGAGCATGGAGTGGGATTAACCCTGCTGATCCCCGGACATTGTACTAGGAGTATTTGGAAGCTGACCATCTTTCTTATCCAGTTGTTGATCAACAACCACAGATCCATTCCCGTTTTGGCATGTAGCCAATTCCTTTACCTCTGCCTGAGTGGGAGAGGGAGAGGGAGAGGAAGATGGAGATGGAGATGGAGACGGAGACGGAGCCATCCCTTCTTCAATAGGAAGGGTTCTCTTTGAGCCCTCCAAAGCAACACCAAGAACTATGTTCTCTTCCAATGGAGGTCTTGATATTGGTGGGGCTTGCGTTAGTCTCTCACTTTCTTGTTTTGATGATTGCGAGCTGGATGGATAATCGCCTAGTTTCTGACCACCAGTATGCGAAAAAGAAGCTGCACTGCTCTGTCGAGTGTTTCCCAAACCTGTCTTCTCAGGCTGCTTATTATTAGAGATGTTCTGGGTGGAAGTTGAGCCTACAGCTTTCGAGTTGGAACTTGACACTTCTGCAAACTTGGAATCAGTCTTAGAGGCAGATGTTGATGTTGATTTTGCCATCACTTTATCACCTACCTTACGACCAGGTGTAGATGTAGATGTAGATGTAGATGCCACTGCGGTATTGTCGCCTTTGGAGTCAGAATTTTGCATTTCTCCAGCCTTCATACCAGATGTTTGCACCTCCCTCGCCCTAGAGTCAGAAGATGGATGAGTCTCTTTGGCTTTAGAGTCAGACAATAGTGTAGCTCCTCCACCTTTAGCATCTGTCTTGCCATTGGATGTGGGCCGCACTGCTGGCTTGCTGTCTTGCTGCTCTCCATTTGCGCGCATTGACCGAGTTTGGGTTTTTGTTCTGTCTTCTCCATTGATTTTGTAATGGGGTTCAATCAGTAGCAAAGGACGGTTAGAAGCTGCTGCTCCACCACGAGTGAAGATTGAATCCGAAAATGGTATGTTTTCCAAATCAGGGTCACTATATATTTTCTGAATTGTACGAATGGGAGTGGCAAGTCGAGCACGGTGATGGCTGATGACTCTCAGAAGATCCAGCAGTATAGCTTCCTGTTTTTTTTTTTCCAAACAAAAAATAAAAAGTCACCAAGGGCATACTCCCGTGTATTGTACATTATAGAATTCAAATGAGATGGCATCTCCCATAAATGACCACAGGAATAGTTGATTGGAATAAGTACTGTTTTACTTGGTTAACGAAAAAGATGATGGCAAAGAAAGAAACTTTTGAAAACTACAACCAAGAACCAAACAGGATTAATACAGCGAGTCTAGAAAACTGGGATAAAGGATCTGAGAACAGAATGGCTCAAGCTTCCTAACAAAGACATCCAGAAATCCAACAACTCACCCCACTCACACCCCTAAACTCACATTTCATGAATTTCTCTAGAGGAAATTTCCATCTATCCCATAACTGAAAATGAGTATCTTACCCCACACAAAAAATCTGAATCCACTAATAACTTTCAAGTCGCCATCTTCCCCAAGAGAATATGCCAATAACTTTAAAATTACAGGAACAGGTGATGAATTGGACCTAATATTCATGGCTGACAAATCTTTGCATGCATGTATGCTTAAATTAGAATACTTCAAATGCAAATGCCAGTATAAATATCAAACTTCCAACAAGGTTTAGAAAATTTAATGACCTGATCTTAAAATCATACATATATTTTTTTTGATAAATAAAGCAATTTATTATAAAAAGGCATAAAGATGATGCAACCAATACAAATGGTATTCCCAATTAGGGAAACCCGACCCAAGCACTACCTAGTTATATCATCTAGAACATCTTAAAAAGAAAAAAAAATCTGGCTTAATTGTTCTCTCCAACCAACTATACATAACTACAAGAAGCCGATTCTCTAACCAAAGGACACCATAATAAACCTCTTGAAACGTTCGACTATTTCGCTCCAACCATACAAGCCACATCAAGCAAAACGGTGCCATTAACCACACCCGCCGACGTCGATGTCCAATCCAAGCACCCCACCAAGCCCAAAGCTTATCCAACACCCCTTTTGGTTGAACCCAAACAACCCCAAAGAGTGAGTAAATAAAACCCCACAGCCGCGAGGCCACTGGACAATGTAGGAACAAATAATCCACTCATCAGCACAACACATACAACATCGATTCACTAACACATGCCCACGCCTTATCAAATTATCCAATGTGAGATTCCACCCCAAAGCAGCTGTCCACATAAAGAAAACCACCTTAGACAGGACACCCGGGACCCAAACACTCTTCCAAGGAAACACCCTACCACACACCTCCACCAAACCCCAATAGAATGAAGAAACTGTGAACTATCCCCTGGCCCCCACCCCATTCCATACCATAACATCGGACCCCACCCTAGCAAGACCCAAGCCGAATACTTCAAATGCAAATGCCAGTATAAATATCAAACTTCCAACAAGGTTTAGAAAATTTAATGACCTGATCTTAAAATCATACATATATTTTTTTTGATAAATAAAGCAATTTATTATAAAAAGGCATAAAGATGATGCAACCAATACAAATGGTATTCCCAATTAGGGAAACCCGACCCAAGCACTACCTAGTTATATCATCTAGAACATCTTAAAAAGAAAAAAAAATCTGGCTTAATTGTTCTCTCCAACCAACTATACATAACTACAAGAAGCCGATTCTCTAACCAAAGGACACCATAATAAACCTCTTGAAACGTTCGACTATTTCGCTCCAACCATACAAGCCACATCAAACAGAACGGTGCCAATAACCACACCCGCCGACGTCGATGTCCAATCCAAGCACCCCACCAAGCCCAAAGCATATCCAACACCCCTTTTGGTTGAACCCAAACAACCCCAAAGAGTGAGTAAATAAAACCCCACAGCCGCGAGGCCACTGGACAATGCAGGAACAAATAATCCACTCATCAGCACAACACATACAACATCGATTCACTTACACATGCCCACGCCTTATCAAATTATCCAATGTGAGATTCCACCCCAAAGCAGCTGTCCACATAAAGAAAACCACCTTAGACAGGGCACCCGGGACCCAAACACTCTTCCAAGGAAACACCCTACCACACTCCCCCACCAAACCCCAATAGAATGAAGAAACTGTGAACTGTCCCCTGGCCCCCACCCCATTCCATACCATAACATCGGACCCCACCCTAGCAAGACCCAAGCCATACAAGAAATCCCACAACTCCACCAACTGAGCCACCTCCCAATCTTGCACCTGCCGTCGCAACTGAATATTCCAAACCATCACACCCCCACCCCCCAAATAAGATGCCACCGTAGCCTCGTAATCAACCACAATGGCGAAGATCAAAGGGAAACGGATCTCCAAAGAAACCTCCCCACACCATCCATCCATCCTTCCAAAATCTCACCCTCACTTCATTCTCCACCCGAAATCCTACCCACCTCCAAAACTCCACCCTTCCTAGCCAAATCCCTTTCCACAACCCACACCCATGGGAGCTAGTCACATTCCCAGTAACCCAATCCCCCTTACCCACCGTAGCCTCGTGATCAACCACAATGGCGAAGATCAAAGGGAAACGGATCTCCAAAGAAACCTCCCCACACCACCCATCCTTCCAAAACCTCAGCCTCACATCATTCTCCACCCAAAATCCTACCCACCTCCAAAACTCCACCCTTAACAGCCAAATCCCTTTCCACAGCCCACATCCATGGAAGCTAGTCACATCCCTAGTAACCCAATCCCTAGTAACCCAATCCCCCCTACCCAATCCATGCTTAGAAGCGATCACCCTTCGCCATAATCTATCCTGCTCCACAGCAAAATGCTACAATCACTTCCCTAACAAGGCTCTGTTGAAAGTCACCAATTGCCTAACCCCCAGGCCCCCTGCTTGCTTCGATTGACAAATCCTTCCCCAATCAACCAAATGATACCTAAATTCGTCTCCACCACTATCCCACAAGAAGTCTCTTTGAAGCTTTCCAACCGCTGTGCTACCAACACTAGAATAACATGTACCGACAGAAATAGGTTTGGATACTTCTCCACCACTCCATCCCACACCCTCTTTGCCTTAAACATAGCCCCCCTAACGGCAGACCCAAATAAGACACTGGCAATCCCGCCACCTTGCAACCCAAGATTGCTGCTAAAACTAGCAAGTGTTGTACCTCCCCAACCGAAATAAGTTCCGACTTCCACAAGTTAACCCGAAGGCCTGACACCGCCTCAAAGCATAGCAACACACATCTCAAGTATCCCACACGCTCCACTTCAGCACCACAGAATATCAAAGCATCATCCACATACAATAGATGAGATACACCAGTAGTAACCCCCGACACTGATCCCACAACAAAACCTTCCAATAAGCCTACACACACCGCTCTTAAAATCATATATCACCATTGCTCTCATGAATTGGGTAGCATTTTTTTGTGTTATTGGTGTTGTAATCGCACAATCTACAAATCCCACATATTACTATCCTAATTACATGGAAGTGCAAAAGAAAAGTCCTCTTACCTTGACACACAGGTATTCTTCAAAATGTGAGGTCTTCACGAAGCAAGAGATCAAGATCTGAAAGACATAAGATAAATATCAAGTTCATGCATAGCTGATGGTCAAGTGGCAGCTACTAGAAAACCATTACAGTTTTAAAAAATTATGGACCCATCCATCTAGTTTATTTGCTTTTGTTTTGTTGAGTAAAATCATACATTTTATTTAGATTATCCAGAAATGGCTCCACAAAAGACATTTTATTATATAGTTTTTGGTAATTTAAAATATCAAGAGCGAAGCCTATCAAGAACGAAGCCTTATGATACTGTCACTACAGAAATCCATTGGGATGTGCCATCCATTAGGGCTGTTGTTCATCAATCCGATCTAACAGATCAATCCGTCTGATCCTTGGTGGGGGGTTGAACAAAATGGTGGTGGTGGGGTGACTGAGCAAGTGAACGAGAGATTAGATCCTTTTCTGGTAGGGCTGGGGCAGGGGTGGGAACAAAAATTGTGGATGCATGACAAAAGGGGGAGCCGACAAGGGATTGGCTATGAAAGATTATGTTTAACATTAATCTCTGAAAGTGAACAATACAATAATTGTTTGTAGAATCAATGTAAGAGATAATGGTATAGCATTTAAATGCAACATGATAATATATAATTGGAGGGGAAAATTAAAACACATGTTTTGGTAATAATACTTTGGGTTAATTACACCAAGACCTCCTCAACTATTAGAGAATATCAGTTTACCCCCTTCATCTATGAACCCGTACATTTTGACCCCTTCAACTATGAAAACTGTACAAACACACCCCTTTTGGAGGTGGCCTGGAAGGGGTGACAATGATACATTTTTATAGTTGAGGAAGTCAAAATGTAAGGATTCATAGACAAAGGGAGGAAATTGATATTCACTAATAGTTGAACGGGCCTTGGTGTAATTAACCCTAATACTTTTTAATAAGGCACTTTGATGCCCAAAAAAAAACAAAAAAAATGCTGATATCACCCATTTTATGTTCCCAGAGCTCTCCACCAGTACGAGTGTAGCTGTTATGCAATTATAAACTTAGGGAAACACAGCGTAATTTTGTCATACTAATCAGACCAGCTATATTTATTCCAATTGCCAGGGAGCTCAATGTAATTTTCCCTTTAATAAAAGTTTTACAATCAATCTTGAACCTGCTAACTGGCCAAAAAATGCTGATTACAAAAATTCAAGTAAAGTAAATGTTCATTAGAGCTGATTTAGTAATCTCAGTGGTCTGCAATCCAAAAGCTATCTTGCGCTTATAGTTCATTTTCAATCAAGGTGAAGCATCATGGTATAGAATCTAGAGATAATCCCTAACTTGCTGCTACTACGGATTTTATCAACTCCGGATAACATAATTCTCTCCTTTGTATTTGAAGTTGAAACTGATAGCTCATTTTTAATATCTGAAACTACTGTCTGTTTTAAAATTTGTCATCCTTCCCTTGATTTATATCACAAACTAAAGGTTGCCGCATGACTTCAAAACTCTTCACGGGTTATTATGAACATTGAAAATTCAGTGCCAGCAAGAACATGAAGCCAAATCTCTGCTATTTTCAACTATAGAATTCATACTTACCAGAAGAAAACAATCTGTAATAATATGATCATTCAGAAAAGACATAATAGTGACAAGAAAATGATGGCCTACGATGATATAACTATCAGTTCATCAGAAGAAGATATGAATGCCAAAGAATTGAGACTAACCAAAAGGGCCTGATTTTCAGGATTAATATTGTCCAGAAATACTCTTCTATGCAACTTCTTGTGTTCTACATGAGGATTCTTTGCCAACACTTTGCGCATATCAGCAACAATGTTCTGCAACACCAAACCATGTATCATGGGAAAGGTCCTATAGCAGCTCTCTAGCTGCATGAATAGAACCATAATTTATTGAGAAATGGTGATCCAGAATAAGCCTTACATTAATCTTGTTGACATCCAAGTGACTAACAGCCAGATGGGTTTTAATACGCCAATGAGTTTTTTGAGTGAGATTTCTCACAACATTAACAGTAAACTTGTGGTTTGGAATGTGAACTGCTTCACGATCTTCACCTCTTACAATTGTTGGTGACCACCACCCCACATGCTGCATGCACAGAAAAGAAAAACGAAATCAAATCACACAAAATAAAAGACCAGTGTCCGCATAAGGGAAACCTCCCAGTATATACTCAAATTTTCAATTTTACAAAACAAATGATTATCATATTTTTGCAGATGTAAGAGAATTTCATTTGTCATATATCGAAAACAAATAAAATCCTCAAAATATGAGAAAAATCATGTACATTATTTTTCTCTTTGTCCTGTTCCTAAAGTTTCTTGCTCTGAGGTGTGCTGAATACTTGAATACAAACCTCAACAGTGCCAGAAACTTCATAGCCTTCAATCTTTGTTTGAATCCATTCATTCACAACAAAAGGCCGGGTTGCATGAATCATTGCACTAGAGAGGAAATTTGTGAATATCTGAGTACATTAAACATCTAATATCAATCTATGCAATAAGCTTTTTTTTCCAAAATAAAAAAATTATGTTTGAAACAAATTTGACTGCTAGCTCTTAAGCATGCAGGCATTGCAAGGACAATCACAAAAACTACAAGATTACATAGAACATGAAAATTCAACTACACCTCACGACCAGCAAGTGTCAGCAATACAGTCCCAAGACCTCCAGCAGTGAGCCATTTCTGGGTAGAAAATCCTAGCAACTCCATGAACAATGAAACAGCAGCAACCCATACTGCAGTGTATACAGCTTTGCCAGCAAATTGAAAACCCATCTGCCAAGAAACAATAAATCTTTATTTGTATACTAAGTATGGTAGCTAGCAGTATCTTTGAGATAATTAGAATTATAAAGACAATTAATTAATCCACATTGCTCATTCCTTCAACGCTTGTGGCGGGGGGGGTTTGATCCCCATGGTCTTCACTAGAAGTAAATGTTCAAAAACAGCGAGATCAAGTCAAAAGATAATCATGTGTAGTAAACTAGTAGTTAGGATGGGGCAAGCTCCTCGCAAATACCGAATCTATTAAAGGCTGTCATTCACCCTGATTACAGTTGGCGCCTGCACTAATTAACAGTGGGTGATTGTTTTTAAGAAATGAAGTTGGAGAGAAGCCCAAACTGATGACATTCATCTACTCGATGTCAAGGGGAATTTTGTTGAATAGCCACCACACAGTACACAACAATATACATGCATAAAAAAGGTGATAAGATCAAGTTTCAGAATATTAAAGAATTGCTACATACATTTCTTGGATCAGTGGTGTCATTTGTCTCCATGAAGAATTTTTGTGCTTGCTGGATTACGCTGCATAGATACAGATATTCAGTTATCATTGAAGCACCAAACAATAAGTACTATAACTTCAAAAACAGTTTTATTTGAACAACATTAAGGAGTCACTTAGTCAAATGATTAAAAAATAGTAACTTTTCATAAGAAAAAGTAACATGATCAAATTAAAAGAGAACTATTTACTTGGTCACATAGCGTAACATTCAAATACAATAGTAGAAATATATATAAAAATAGACCTGATGATGAGGAAATTGACCCAATAATGTGAACTGAATAGATCAAATTAGATATTCTAAAGTAACAACCATTTTAGTAATGATGAAGAGCATGTTGACAAGGCCTTATTGTATGATCAAGGTGAGAATTCGCATTGGGGCGGTTAGCTGTTGAGCCTAATTATAGGTTTCCATATGTTTTGAATGGTGGGTTTGAGTCTTAAATCTGGATTTTATTTGCTGTTTTGGTATTTACTGGTCAGTTGTTTTAAATTCTAGATAGTGGTATAAAGGTTTTAATCCTCATACTTCCATTTTGCAAGTCATAAGACCATTTGAGTGAATGTTTTATTTTTAAAGTCTCATGTGACCATTGGAGGCCAGATTAGTTACTTCATTTAATTTTCTTTCATTGTACGACATAATAGTTCTTAATTAGATTTTAAGAAAGCACTGAGATTGCACTTTTGTTATGGAAACAGAGAAACCAGTCAGTTACCCCTAGTCTTTAAACAGCAGCTAATAAGTATTGATGATATTTTTGGTCCACTATTACAAAAACCTTTCCACTACTTCCTCGAGGGATTGAGACAAGCCTAATACTATCTTCTGACCTAAATTTATCTTGATCTTCTAATTTGTGTTCTCACTGAAATATTTCTTCTTGTTCATAAGTGGACTGTGTTGAAGAACCCATCAGCAGCCTGGTGGTTTTGGTCACCAAAATCATACTCCAGTGATCATGCATTTTGTCTGAACCAAGATTGTGGAAGATACCACTGTCCCAAGCAGAACTTGTAGCTAAAGTGTAGAGTGTCTAAAATTAGGATAAGGGTTAGAAGAGAGCAAGAAAAGATAAGAGAATACAGCAAATAGGCATGGGTGCTAAAAAAACCTCCACCTAAACACATTTATATTAAAACAATAATACGACAATACGAAAAAAGTACCCTTTATATAAAATAACATAAAAAAACACTCGACTATCTAACAGGGGTGATAAGACATATCAGTAGATTCAGTACCACTCACCTTGATAAACAATAAGCAAGAGCCAGCACAGTTGACAATGATCTTATAAAATTCAAGAGCCGTTGCTTAACAATTTCGCTAGCTTCTGAAGGTAGGACCATGGGATCCAACACTCTGCAAGAGAATTAACTATTATCAGTATATTGTAAATCACAACAATGATTGACAAGTGCTATTTGCTTTGAACAGAAAAATGCAACCAATCTCGCTATTCAATAATATCACATTTGTGGCACCTGCAGATCAGTGTTGCTCCGGTCCACAGCAACAAAGGTTGAAGATAAGAGGTCATAACATAATACGTGCCACTCTTTTTCCAACTACTATCATTCTTCTGCAGAATATTATGACATTTGACATTATAAAAGGAAAATACAAAAAGGAACAGAATTAGAAAGAAAGAAATATATCAAAAAGTAAGCTCATACATGGAAGAATACGCTTCTGCCTTGACGCATGAGTGGCCCAAGACCCCATATAGCAACAACAATAATACCTACTGCTGAAACCAACTTAAGTACAATAGGACTACCTTGGAAAGCATTATATGATCTGCATGATATAAGAACATTTTTAAATGTAAGTTCAATGGAACATGGTATATAGAGAATGAAAACCAAGTGCTAGAAGTGATGCCAATTAACTCTGGGCATCATACTCCCTCGTAAAGTCCACATACAAAAGAAAAATCTATATAAAAACTAATACAAATTAAAGCTTTAGTTAACAATGATAGGAGACCAAATATAAATGCAAACAGATGAAATCAGTTGCCACCCCCTCTTGACACTACAACATAGATATCTATCTCCATGAAAAATTCTAATGTAATCCTTGGACCACAGTTTCTAAATAGTGAAACTCCACAAGAAACTATATTGTTGTTAGCAGGTATGCTAAGACAGTACAAAACAACAGACTTTTCAGGAAAACTCCAAAATCTAAGGCTGTGTTTGGTGCAGCTTTGTAATCATAATTTCACCCATCCGTTTACATGCATTGTTTGGATGGAGTTTTGGAAATGTGATTCTACCACATATTTTATAACATATTTCTCTTTCACATTTGCCTACTCTCTCTCTCGTCTTCTCCATTCTGAAAAGCAGAGGATTTTTGAATTTTGGGTCTACCCGGTTATCCTCCCGGACGTTTTCGGATGTCCGGCCAGTCGTCCAACCGGTTGACCGGAACACTATAAATTTTATTTTATTTTTTTTGCAATTGCCAATCACCAATCGCCACCTGTTATTTGGAAATATATATATATATATATATATTTGTTTTTAATATTTTTTAAATATAGAAATTATTTTTTTAGACCAAAATGGCAATTTTATTTTTTTTTAGTTGAATGTTAAAAGGAGTTTGGTTTTGCGTTTTGAATAGAATTTTCAATAGAGTTTTAAGATGTGTGTTTGGTTATAAGAAATAAGTTTTTGAATTTGAAAACTCTTTTCAAAACTCATAACCAAACAACTTTCCTCATTTCATATGTCACATCAAAAATTCAAAACTCTTTTCAAAACTCATAACCAAACAAATTTTCTCTTTTCAAATCATAATTCCAAAACTCACAAACTTAAAATACAACTTTATTCTCAAATCATAATTCTAAAACTCTACCAAATGCTACCAAAATTTTTCAAAGTTATGCCAGATGATCATCGTCTTTCTTGAAGTCATTGAATTCATTCCCAAAGCACACAGATGGCATTGCTTTTAATTGGTACAAATGTGGCATTATGCAAAGACATCAAGTTAATATTCACATCAATTTACAAGGACAAGAGCATTAATTAAACTGCTAGAAATAAGTGCATCTCTTATAATAATAAAAAAATCTTTATATTAGTTAGTGGTTAATAATTTCGCCACTATGATTTTCTAATGGAAGAAAGTCATTTTAGTCACTGAAAGTAAGGCAAAATTGGTTTCTAACACCTTGCTTTTGAAACTCTGGCCATAAGTGGACGCTCTCTTCCAAAACAATTGTAGTTCACACAAAGCAACAGGGATAAAAGGCGAAAATAAATAAACTGATGTATAAATTGTGCATGAACATGAATACATATGTACATATCCAAGAAGAAATATGAACATTATGCATTTATAAGGATGAGCACAAGCATATGCATGTGAGTTAATCAGAAGAAGAAAAATGACCTTGTGAATGCAATAGCAGCATTCTTCATACAAGAAATTTCAGAGACTTTGCCTGGATTCAGCAAAGAATAGCACTTAAACATATTATGTTTAAATTGGATCGAACATATTGGCTTGCGTAGACTGCCTGAAAGATGTATTCTCCTTGGATCCTGTTGCTGAAAGTACAAACCAAAAATTAATGCTGAGGTTATTTTTCATTATAGAGATTAAGAAATGTTGAAACAACATCATTTGAAGAATTCCAGTTGCCACCTTGCAACCATTTAAAGAATGTGAAGTAACTACTAAAAGTTTTTGTGACAAAATAGAATGCGCAAAGATTCTGTTTCCCAAAAAAATAATTTCATTTTTTTTCTATTTCGTTGGGGAAGGGCAAGCAGGCATTTTAATTGTTACTAGAGAACTCAAGATGCCATGACCTGCCATACAGAACAGTAAGAAAATGGAGCCTACAAAATGTAATACTTAGAAATTAAGTAATGGTATTGACAAGCTGCAAGAACATCAATTAATAGAGGTTATGTTACACATTCATCCTCTAACTGTACATTAAGCGCTGAACTCATGTAAAGTATTAAAGGTAGCAATGCCTCTGGTAAGACTTTAAATAAAAATAGCTTATGATCAATTCATACATTGGTTAATATCGAACAGTATTGGCCAATATATTGATAAATAACCGTATTGAAAGTCCAAAATCCCGATACGTAACAGTTGATATTTACAACCCTGGCAGGTACACAATGTTAGATTTGCTAGCAGAGAAATGAGGCGAGAGATAAATGCATGAGAGAAAGAAAAGGTGAGAGCATGCAGCCGTATCTCACTTCCTCACCTCTAATTTTCTTCCTCATGGCCAGATCTTGGATGGCAATCCCCTGACGGATATGTTCTCTCCTGAAACAGTGGATTATTTGCAATATACAGAGCATCTTGGCCATCACAAAACAACCACATAGACCCATTAGTTTTAAAACCCATCTCTTTTAAAAGTGATTTTACCTACATCATCTAACATGTATGAGCAATTGCTCTATACTCTGCCTAAGCACTTGACCTTACTACAACATTTTGCCTCTTACTCTTCCATGTAACAAAATTACCGCCACCAACTGTACAGCAGCCAACTATAGACCATGTATCCAAGTGATCTCAATCCCAATCAGGCTGACAATAACATACAACATCAATAGAATAGGATGGTCTGAGCACCAAACCTCTCCCTGGAGCCACCTTTAAGGTACCTCAAAATTAGACAACATTCCAATGCTGCTGTTTTGGACTTTCCATGAACAGACTGCAAATGATAGCAAATGTCATATCTGGTCATATCACAGTCAAGTTTATCAGTTTTCCTACCATCTTCTGCATTTTCCTGGATCATCAAACACCTTGCCTTCATCTCTATCAAGTTTTACGTTGGGATCCATAGGAGTATCAGTTGATCTAATCCCCATCATACTTTTTCCTCAAAGAAGATCAATTGCATATTTCCGATGTGATGGTGAAATTCCAACATTTGACCTTGCTACCTCAATTCCCAATAAATACCTCAATCAGCCTAAATCTTTCGTATGAAAATGTTTGCTATGGTGAAATTTAAGTAAATTAATTCCTTCAAGTTCAGTACCATATTAAGTCACCAATTGTCATAAAGGCTTAAGGTGTTAGGAAATGGACCAAGCAATGTTAATTAAGTTATCACACAACCCTCTCACATGCAACCCCATCTCCCATGTGAAGAGGCCAACAGACCCAACTGAATAGTGCCTGATAACTGGGAGACTAGGTAATGCTAATGCAGGACAGCATTGTTAAGGGCTGGTCTGGGGCTGTGAAAATGCTGAAATTTAAGAAAGAAAAAAAGGGAAAGAAGGAGATAGTTCTAGGAATCACTCCATTCCTAGAGGCCTTAGGCATCACACCTTGGGTTAGGGTTACATCACACAAACCTAAAGAAGCTTCAAAGTTCTGAAAATTCTATAAAATATCATCTCTATTAAATAAGAAGTATTACATGACTTTATATAGAACTAGCAGACTTCCTAAACCAACTACAATTAAAAAAGGAAACTAGTAAAATACTTTTGACTTCTAAAATTTATTTAAGACCTATAAATAAAAGTAATTAAATAACTTGACCCACAAGATGACCCATGGGCAACCCGCCAACCCACATCTATAAATTCTTCAAATTACGATAATACCCCTAATCTTGAAAACTTTATAAAACTGAACCAAAACAGAAACTCAAATAAAACACAAATCGGACTTAAAACGACTCAAAATCATATTATGCATGTTTCCATGTGGTTTTAGTCTTGAATGCGAGCAAGTTCCATGATTCCTTGCATCTTTGAATTTGCTTTTCCTGGAGTGTCATATGGTTTGCATCATTAGGAGAGCAAACGCAGATTACAAGACTCAAAACCAGGACGACCTCTTGAGCTCTGACCATGCTAGAAATGCAAGAAAAAGAAATACTCGAGAGGTAGAAAAGGTGAGAAGTGAGAGTATGCAGCCCTATCTCACTGCCTAACCTCTTTTTACTTGCAATGAAAAGACATAATTGACAGTGAAATAAGAATGACAGAAAAGCTTAACCAATAAATGAAGTTTCTACAATAATGAACAAAAATGGGTGGATTTTTTTCTTCTTTTTCTGTCGCCAATAAAATCATACATCCAATAAGTAAAATCTCCAATAGGTTTAAGTTGCAACAAAAGAGAATTACAGAAGCATCAATTAGAGAGTACAAATTCTAAATTTCAAAGCACAAAGAACCATACCAAAGCAACTGATGAAAAATTGGCTTTCAATAAATTTAATTTTTTACTTCGCATCACACTCTGCAAAGATATAAATATTCGCATGACTGATAAGAACACAAGAAAAATTCAGAAAAAGGTAAAAATAAAAAGAAAAAATAGGAGAAATACTTGCATACCAGTTTATTGCACTCAAGGTTCTTGCATATTTCCAATTCATGGGACACTTGCAAAGAACCAGTAACAGCCATCACTATAGAAGCTATATAAATAATAAAATGCCGCTTGTAGCATAAGAAGATAATAAACTCAAAACGATACAACCCTTGTATCACCAGCAATATGCAGATCAAATAAAATCTGACTACCTCGCAGCTCAAATACCTGATATAGTAAAGTAAAACATTCAGCCAGCACAAAAGATAATAAGTAGCAGCCAAACAAAATGTCTAACACTCTTAACTGCATCATGTATTTCTGCATAGTAATTCCTACAAGGGATTTACAAGTGTGTGTGTGTATGTGTGTGTGTGTGTGTGTGTGTGTGTGTGTGCACGTTTGTATAACAACATATTGTTAAAGAAACAAGGGGGAAGCTTTAGTTGTACCATAAAAATCGCCTCAACATTGAAAATAAGCAACTTATTTCCACTGGAATGTGCATACACCACTCAATTCAAGGTATTAAATCAACAGTTGCAATCAAACAAAATGTTGCAGACTCTGAACTCCACCATGTATTTATTAGGATTGCAATTCGAGTGGGCCCAACCAGAGCAACTCAAGTCCAATCCGCAAAATTTTAAGACTTGGGCAATATAATTTCAAATTTGGTCAAGGTCTCTATTAAAATTTGCCAACCCAAATCAAATTCAGTCACAGCTTGGACAACGGCTCTCACAATCCGAATTTTATTGCTTACATATATATATATAATAAATAAGAAATAAATCAAACCAAACCAAACTAAGCCTTCTGTCCCAATCAAGTAAGGCCAACAACAAGAATCCTATAATAAACAAGAAATGTGGGTGCCTCTATTCACACACCATCTTTCATCTCAAGGCACGCCATTAATTAGTTTATATCAAATCAAATTCAGTCACAGCTTGGACAACGGCTCTCACAATCCGAATTTTATTGCTTACATATATATATATATATATATATATAATAAATAAGAAATAAATCAAACCAAACCAAACTAAGCCTTCTGTCCCAATCAAGTAAGGCCGACAACAAGAATCCTCTAATAAACAAGAAATGTGGGTGCCTCTATTCACACACCATCTTTCATCTCAAGGCATGCCATTAATTAGTTTATATTTCATTACAATATGAATCTAATGTAAAATGACCACAAAGGACAAAGAGTTATGATACACACCTTACGTAAAATTACCATAAAGGACAATAATGAATACAATACACACCTCTCTTCTGAAATGTTACTTATGTAATCTTCTCTCTCAAGAAGTCAAAAATCCTGAAACAAAAACCAAAAACCCTTATAGAAACAATAAAAAATATACGTATTATGGAAGATTTTGATTGGATTAAATGATGGATGCATTTGACAATATTGGTTTGGAACAATGGAGCACGGAAAAGATTAGTTTTTCATTTTTTTTATTCATTTTTGTGTACTTGTTGAGTGATAAACCGTTTGTATTCGTTCGGATACCCAGATTTGAACAATGTACTCATGTTCGACTATCTACAACTGAACAAGTTCTACTTGTTCGATTTTCTAGTGTCGAGCATAGTCCACATGTTCGGTTAATAAGTTCCAAACTTATAGCATTTGTTCGGTTTTCAACCGTCGAACTTTTGAATTTAGCTCGACCCTATACATCTGAACACTTATAACAATTTTTTTTTTGGTTTTTTCAAAATTGTGCATCCATGGAATGCAGTAATGTTGGATCTGAAGAGAATGGATGGGGTCATGAACTAGAGAAGAATGGAGTGACGTTGTCTTCAGCACGAATGAAGACCAGTTTAGACTGGTTCCCAAACCTCTGGGATGATAATGAAACAGAGAATGAAGGGGGACGTTGTGTGTGTTTTTGAAGTGGAGGTCTAGAATATGAAAGATTGAAGATTGTGGGTGAGATGTGTGAGTGAAAAAGGATAAAGATCGAAGATTGTAGTGTGTATTGAGCAAAATTTTCATTTATCAAATTACTAAAAGTGTGCTGTGAGTAGTGGCGTGCCTTGAGATGAAAGGTGGTGTGTAAATGGAGACACCCAAGAAATGTACATATAATAAGTTAATTATTATCCCACCATTAGATCAAATCATAGTAATATTATCAATTGTACTACTAAGTACATATAACTCAAACTAATTTGTTATTATGTTATGTTCCATTTCTTTAAAATATTTTGAGATATTTTTCTTCTTTTGGCAAAAATAAAAGTGGGACTAATAGTCAAATACACATAATTTCGGGTCATATAATCGACGGCTATATATTTCACGCTAACAGTGCAATCCCCTTATGCAGTCCGTCCGTCCAAACAAGAAACCCTTAACATTATAAAATCTTTCATTTGGTGAAGGGGGCAATTGGACAAAGAAAAAAATAAATAAATTGAAGAAAGAAATTGAAAAAAAACACTGATTCACATAGATATGTGTGTGAGTGTGAAAACAACCTCAGAACGAAACTTGAGTAATAATAATTGAGCGTATGCTGGCAATTTCGAGTTGGGGGTTAGTACAAGAAGAGAAGAGATAGAAAAGATTGAAGATGAATTTAAGAATCAAGACAACAACACACACACACAGAAAAGATTGAAGATGAATTTAAGAATCAAGACAACAACACACAGCGTTACCTGGCTGAAAAGGCACCAACGATCAAGTCACCAAGGAGCGTACAATCCGACGTTGCAAGCCAAGTGCTTGCTTCTCCAAATCGAGTTTTGTCGAGAGAGAGAGAGAGAGAGAGAAGAGAGAAAATGACTGGTGCAGTGCTTACTGCCAGGGGCGAAAAAAGAAATGCAAACCCCATATATATATATATATATATATATACGTCTAAAGCTGATGCCATTTTTGATGAATTATTGGCTAATAAATTTTTAACATTGTCTCTTGGACATGTGATTCCAAAAGAACAAGATAGAGTAGGAAAAGAATATTGTAAATGGCATAATACTTTTAGACAGTCTACCAACAATTGTGTAATTTTTAGAAATTATTATATTATAATTAACATAATATGAGATATAATTAAAAAAATTATAAATTATAACTACAAAAAAAATAATTATAACTAAAAAAAATTAACATAACTAATAAAAAAAATTAACATAACTAAAGATAGATACAATACACAATTTAAAAAGATGTAATGTATTCATATATTTTAGTTAGATGCTGTTCAGTACGGGGGCATGCCAAAGCTTTAGTTTGGTAAAAGAATTTCAAAAAAAAAGTTCAAATCCATTTTCTTGTCATTGGTTCTTATAAACTAATTATCTTTTTATTTTAAAAAGTTATATTTATTTGATTTGGTTCCATCTATCTACCTATCTATCTGTATATATAAGGAAAGAGAAAATTGGTCTAAGGTTCCTCCTCTACTTTTGATAGGAGGAGAGGTCCAAAATAATATGTTTTGATGGCTAAGGTCCCTCAAGTTTATTTTAGGTTATGAAGTACCTAAAATACCCTTCTTTTATAACATAAATTTGTTTGAATATTATATTGTTGACTTCACAGTAGAGATTTTGGAAACTGACTTCGCGGTGGAGATTTCGTCGAAGATTACAGTGGAGTTGACGAGAAATTTGTTTGAATATTATATTGTTGATTTCACGGTGTAGATTTTGGAAAGTGTCTTCGCGGTGGAGATTTTGTTGGAGATTTCAATGGAGTTGACGAGAAAGATTGCTACGATCGTGTAGGTGTTACAGTGTGTTGATCGCGTACGTTTTTCAGTGGAGTTGAATCAGGTATGTTTTCGATGGAGATTCCACATGGATTTTGATTTTTGTTTTGAATTTTTGTTTTGAGAGAGGCCAGCTTGATAGAGTTGATTTTTATTTTTGGAATTAATTTTTCATTCTCTATTTTTTGATCAATTTCAAAGAGTGTTGACTGTGTAGTTGATTTTGATGTTTAGGGTTCATTTTTCGTGCTCTGTTTTTCAACAACATGTTGATCAACGATAAGTTTTGTTCTATATTTTTTCAAACCAGAGAAATTTCATTCTCTGCACTTTTGTTGGTATAGTCTAGAGAAAATTATAAGTTTATTATTATAATCCAATGAAAATTACAAAGAAAATTATAAGTTCATATGGACATATTATTAGAAGTTTGTAATGCAGATAGAATCTGAGAAAATTATTATAAGTTTGTTACTCACTTTCAGTTTGTAGTTTAGAGAAAATTATATGTTTGTAGAAAGTGAATATAAGTTTTTGTTTCTCTAAGCAAAAGTTATTTTTTGTGTTTTTTCTTTCAATTTAGATGGACAATGCAGTGTTTTTTGTTATCTTAAAGGTGTATATAAGTTTGTAAATTTCTCTAGATTTTTCTATGAGTGCAATATTGCAGAATGATGCATAGAAAATTGTTAGCTTGTAGTTCAGTGAAAATCATAGAGAAGCCTATAATTTCTTAACATATATTCTGTGTGATTTTTTTCTATGATTGTGTTTAATAGTTAGTAGTAAATTTCTCTGTGATTCTCTCTAGATTCATTAAGTTTCTGTGATTTTATTTTTGTTATCTTGAAGGTGAATATAAGTTTGTAAATGTCACTGGACTTTTATTTGAGTCCAGAGAAAATTATAAGCTTGTTATTATAATCAAGAGAAAATTATAATTTTTAGAAATTTCTTTGGACTTTTGTGTTGTTCTTGTGAAGAGTTTTTATGTTGAACAAATTATTTTCTTGTTTTTTCTTTCAGTTTCGATGGACAGTGCAGTATTGTTGCTGTGCAAATATGGGAATGATACTATTGTCACTAATGTTTC